TTTCTTTCTTTTCGCTCAATGTCCCGTTGGGCGTTTTGTGTTGGATCCATTGTTTCGTTCTTGTGGTATGACATTGGAACAGAGTACATGGGACTTGACGAGGCCGAGGCCTCGAATCTATCACGATGTGGCGCGCGCGCCGGTCAACTGCGCCGAATGGGACTGTACCGGCGAGAAAGTCGTATGTGGCCGAGATCACTTCTGCAAACAAAACTGGTCGAGGTGACTGGAGCACATTCATTCCACGTCACGGCGCTGTTTATGGTGACCCAAGACCCGCTAATGCTATCGCTGGCAGCCAGCTTGTCACTCGCGAATCTAAGATCTCGCTGCGTGAACTGAGCATCTTGACAATCATGCGCCATTGTTCTGCTGCTGCTGCTGCTGCTGCTGCAATATGATCCATGGAGCTGGGAGCTATCAACGGGAAGGGTGGGAGTTGGTCTTCACTTCGACTATGCGTCTTACATTATTACATTCGTAAACGATTGCGCCGGGTGAAAAATGCAGAATGCGCTTCGTGAGGAACATCTCTTGGAAGCATCATCCATGTGTGTACATGGTGCCACTACGTCTTGACGTTGCCCCGTGGCCGTTGAAAGGGGGCTCATATATGCCTTGCTCAAGCGGCGCCATTTGCAAATGCCGCCTTCTGACGCTGAAAGAACTCTTGCAAGAGCTGTCCGATGCTTGAAGGTCCAACTGTTTGGGGGGACCATTCTTCGTCTCTACGACCCAAAAAAGGCATGAGTGGGTTCAGCGAAGAAGCAGAGCAGATGATGATAAAAGCTTCGCTGTACACCGTCCCCATACGTGCTGCTTCATACTCCCAGTCCGTGGGGGTTATTTTGAATGATGCAGAGTGAATCGATCCAGAGGTAGCTAATTTTCAGCATACGACAAACCTCGACGGCGTCGCTGAAAGTTGCCGGTGGATCTTTGGCATTGACACATTCCTTCAAAGCAGGAAGGTTTTCCGTTGAACGGTTTGAAGGGCCGGTGCCCACCCCAACAGCGACTTGACGCGGCCCAGGAGACACCAGAATAACTAATGTGTGGTTGCAAGGTTGTAGGAAGGACGGGGAATCAGACACAAAACAAAAGCTGAACTCCAACGAGGTTCATTCAGCTGGACCAATGGGGCACTATACTTCGTATTCGACACGAGCGAAGGCAACCAATCAACTGGTATGCGCCTATGAAGCGATTCTTTGGTGTTGCACTCATGTCTTCACACAGTACACTTACCATCAGGTTGAGATTGAACACATTAACGACACATGCTTTCCCAGTACTCACGCAGTAACTTTACGCATGAAAGCACTCTAGAAGTCCCCAATATCTTGTGGACAACTGCTCTGAAAGCGCCACACTACCGCTTCCTATCTAACAGATCCTAGCAGTCGTGCTGGTGCAGTCGAGACTGGATACACCGAGCTTTCCTGGTAGCTATTCGGCCTGCCGATAAGGGCGTAATTTCTCTCTATTTTCTAGCATTGTGTTTTCAATTCCTTTCCAGTAGACTAAATATACGCTTTGTATGTTCATCATCTACTGTCAATATTCTAACAACAGTTATAGGTTATTTTAATTCAGGCGATCTCCTTTCAAACTAATAGTCTCGAACATATGTCAACATCCTGCATTACCGTGACTATGCTCAAATGATACCGAGCAACTCCAGTTGATTGTTTGAATTCGATAGCACCTAAACACAAAATTGATGTGGAAAGAACAATAATCGTTGTGGGAGCAATTTGATTTCTAAACCCTTATCACATGATGTTATCGCGTTGCCTTTGTCCATATACTATTGTTTCGATTTCGAGTCACTGAAGCGTCGATAATTGCACCAGATTTTAATATTTTGACGAAAACATCGATCCTATGCTTTGTTCGACTTCGGGTTGAGGCGAACAGCTACTGCCTTCAGCTGGCACGCTGGAGACATGATTCTGGTGTTATAAAATACAAGCCAGAAGAACAAGGGCGGCTCAATCTAGGATTTCTTTGAGTGGACTCTGATGGAGCACGGGATTATGCAGGCTGTTGCGCTAACTTGTACTCCTCATACACACTTCACCTAGACACCTTTTTCTACGTGTTTTCGTAAAAGACTTCGCCAGAGTATCTCTTTCACTTCATGCTACGTACCCTGCCGGATCCCCCCTTTGTGTTTAGGAATTTCACACCGCCATTTTCTTCGGGCAGGTGAGTCTGCAGTATTTCCACGTCGCCGCTTTCACTTTTCCCACCGATTTGCGACCCTAGCGACCGATATCCAAGTTTGTTCTAACTGTACCCTCGGTCGCCTATTATTTAACCCCCTAAAATTCACACTCCAGAACTCGTCTTTCTTCCTCCACCCACGACACACCACTCACCATTCACCATTCACCACTCATCACGTTCTTGCCACTACTACTCACAACAATCCACATACACAAGTTCCAACCTACAACAACACCTTATTCATCAACAATGAAGTTCTCAATCATCATCCGTAAGTACCCATCGAAGTCATTCCAGGAATTCGAAACTCGTGGCCAGCACTTCACCAGTGTATCCCGACTCCCTTCGTTTTTGTAGCATCTTTCTCACGCTAATCTCCATTTATCTTTAGTCGCCATGGCCACCACCGTCATTGCCGCCGTGCCTAGCACATCTCCAGCCAACGCCGTGATCGGCACCCCAACCGACGCCCCGCACGCCCTCGGTGTGTGCGAAGACTGCCAGACGTGGTTCACCAACTGCATGGGCTTCTGGTGCAAGGTCTTCAACCCCAACTGCTACGCCCAGTGTCAGCAAGATACCTGCCGCGACCACCCCGAGGTAAGATACGAACCGTTACCGACAAAAGGTGAAGCATATCTGACTACTATAACCTTTAGTGTGCACCTAGCCGCAATGACTGCGTGCCCAAGTTCGATTACTGCACCTAGAGGACATACATACTCGACAACTTGGTCAACCTCGCCTTCGGAATATGCTACGACACTGAGGAGGAACCAAGAGTGAATGCTTGCTTGACATCTTGCGATTTGGTACATGCATGGGTCCGGCGTACACGGAACATCGGACATCGAATATGGGGGGGAATGATTGGAATGACTGAAGTCTGGAGTTGGATCGACTTCCAGAGCATGGCTTAGATAACCATAATATTCCACACAATCAAAACCTAAAATAACTCGGACTGATGATGTAGATTTGGGGAAATAAAAGTGAATTAATTTATCCAAAGTCTCAAAATGTTACCCCCAACACACACACACCTCCCTCCTAGAAAGAAATAAGGTATGACTGACGTTCTGTACGGTCGTCGTATAACCAACCCCCTCTCATCCCTCAGCTCAGACAAAGGCAACAGCGAAGTTCATCAACAAGCCCAACTTGTCCGTTCCGCTCTCCCAGGCCTCCAATTTCCGGGCATTCCCCACATGATTCGGTAGTCGTCTGGCTTGGATGAGCTCACCGAATAGCCGAAAGGGGCGAGCCACCATGTCGTGAAGCCTTTCGTCCAGCCACTCTTCCTGTGAGCGTGCTTCCCACATGGCCTTGCTAGACACCAGAGGTATCTCCTCCAGAGGCCTGAGTCCGGGACACGTGGAGCCGTGGGTGATGAAGACGCAATGTATGACCAACCATAGACATGCAATGCTGCATGGACGCTTGTCGTTAGAAGATGGTTGATTTATATACATATATGTATGGTGAGCAGGCAAGGGGACGGGATTTGCTTTTGCTTTTGCTTTTGCTTTTGCTTTTGCTTACCGTCGATTGGACTCGGCCAATATCCAGTCATCGAATGATTTGCTCGGCAGCGCCTCTTCCGTCGAGGAGCAAGCCCCGGTGCCGAGAAGGGCAAATCTGTGCACTGTCAATTCCTACAGGTTGAGAGGTTAGTTAGTTACAAGTTGACAAGCCCCCCCCCCCCGGCGTCCATGCATGATGCTTGCCTGAAGTAGTCGCAGCAGCGCGTTTCCTCTTTCCCTGTGATCGCCATCGTGATCAACGACGATCATGATGATGTATATCATCAGGGCTTGGCAAGCCCATTGAATATGGTAGACATCCATCGTCTCTATCTCGTCCCGGAATCGCTGTGCTTCGGCGTCTATTACCCGCCATAGGAACGGTGCTGTATCGGGGTTTCTCGCTTCGAAGAGCTGGGCGATACTCATGCAGCTTGCTAGTTTCTCTGGGAGGACGGGCCAATGCCAGTACGGGTGAATGAAGGGCGGGAATGTTTGCCGGCGAAGCATCATTTTAGGGAAGGCCAGGGGTGAAAAGTCAGCTCTCTCTCTCTCTCTCTCTCTCTCTCAACGTCAAGGTCGTTTAATACAGAAGAAAAAAAACATGCTGGTGAAACTGGAGCAAAGGGGGTGATGAAGTGCATTAGACACGTTTCTTTTTTTTCTTTTTGCAGTGAAATCTGTGCGTCGAGACTTACCTTGATGATGTAGATGATCAGATCCGATCTGTAATCAAGAGACACTTTTTGATGCTCTATACGTGCCAGTTCAGTCCTTGACTGCTCTCTCATGTCGCCTAATCCGCAAGCAACGTCGTCGAGTGGGAAAGAGGTGGGCGCAGGCGATGAAGGCGGATGTGACATTGGCACGCCCGAAAACATGTTTTGGCCAAAGCTTGCAGAAGAAACGTCTTGGAAGAAATCCTCCGTGTCGAACAAGAAAGTAGCATCTTCGAAGTTGTCATTCGGCGGGATGCTTGTTGCGTTGTGCAGTGCAGTGGACTGCATGTCAAGAGAGAGTGGCGTCTGAGGCGCGAGGGATTGAGATTGATCATTTCTGCCCTCCTCGATTGGACTGGACATAGCAGTTGATAAGAGCCGACGCGGCTGTTTGTAGACGCAAGACAATCCTCTTGAGGCGCATCGAATACATTGTGGCTGTGTGAATGAACATTTTACTTTAGCTCTACTGCACGCGGCACATGACTGAGGCCTCCCCTTATTTTTTGTTTGAGCTCGGCGACAATAGGATATGTGGCGATGATGAGACGTTTCTGCATGGCGTTAGCAATGTGGATCAAGTATCGAGAGTGAATCATATCTTACCTTTCGTGGAGGCTTTGTTGCACGTGGGGCAGAACGCTAAGAAGGCCGGTTGTTCTATAGGTAACGACATGAGTATAAAGGACAACGCTGCAGTGACTGGACCACAACAACGTGTAATTATGCAAACAACCGCGAATTTGGATTGGGTGACTTCAAAATATGAGACAAGTGTTGATTTGTCATCACTGGGAAATTCGTCCGATAAATCCGAAGATGATTATATCTAACCCAGCAAGCTCTAGAGCTACAAAACAACCAGTGTACCCTAAAATGGAATCGTGCCCTCGATGTTGGTGTAGGTGCCAGTGACCCCATCCTTTCCATCGATTGCTAGCTCAACAGTACGCTTGGCCCCGACCTCCGCAGAAACCCCAGCAGCATTATGATCGTTTATCTTGGTCGCAACATAGCCAGGACACAAGGCGTTGACCTTGGCCCCAGTATCCCTCAAGATGCGGTCATAGTCAGTCATGAGCATATTGACAGCAGCCTTGCTAGATTTGTAGCCCCTGGCTTCAATATTGTACCAAGGGACTTCGGGATTTCTCGACTTCTCAATGCTGCCCATGATACTGGATACGAAGATGACTTTGGGCGGACCGCTTTTGGCCTTGCGGAGAAGGGGAATAAGGCCGTCGGTGAGAGTGGCAGGGCCAATGACGTTGCTTTTGAATGCTTTCAGGTACAGCTCATATCTTGGCACGTCCGGAATGTTATCGTAGAATGCACCGGCATTATTGATGAGTATGTCGAGGTAGCCAAAGTTTTTCTCAATGGTGGCAATGGCGGCATCGATGGAGGACGGAGAATCCAAGTCAAGTTGGACACTGATTGCTCCATGACCGACTTCAGCAGCAGCCTTTTCTCCGGCTTCCTTGTTGCGCGATCCGATGATGACTTGGTGCGAGTGTTCTTTCGCCAGGATCTTTGCCGTGGCAAGGCCAATGCCTGCGTTGCCTCCGGTGATGAGTACGAGAGGTGCCATGATGTTTGTTGTGGTGGG